AACTCAAGTTGGCGATCGCATTATCTAAGTGTGTTGAGTTTAGGCGAACAAGGAGTATATTTTCTAATGTGTCGTGTGGCTTAAAAGATTTCACGACTGTACATCACATTAATACAAATTTGCATTTATGAATAGCGTTAGAATTTTAGTTATATATATGTTCCTTAGATATCGAATGAGGTTATGAATACGGCACAATAAGACACTGAATAAGACAAAACACTTATGTGCAATGTACACTGTGTTTTGAATGAAACTATAGAATCACTTTATTGTTTGAAACTGCGTATAATTTTTAACTATTTGCCACCACCGGTCCTTTTTAAATTTGGCATGTCGTAATATTTTTTCAAAAATAGCTCTCCTGTAAAGTTTAAACTCTCTAACTCTAAAAACACCAAAGTTATACCATTTCCGATCAATCAGTTATATGGCAGCTATAGGATATAGTCGGCCGTTTCCAGTCGTTCCGACTTATATTTTACTACTGCGTGCAAAGGAAAGAGGGATGTGTGCAAAGTTTCATGTCGATAGCTTTAATACTGAGAGACTAGTTCGCGTAGAAACCGACAGACAGACGGAAAAACGGACAGACGGACATGCTCATATCAACTCAGGAGCTGATCCTGATCAAAAATATATATACTTTATAGCGTCGGAGATGTCTCTTTCACTGCGTTGCACACTTTTGATCAAAATTATAATACTCTCTGCAAGGGTATAATTATGATCGCCCTCCCCCAGGCAGATACCTGTATCCGCCCCTGTCAGTGGCGCAACAGCAAAGAAAAATTGGCTGTGTTGCGCACAGATTTTGGCAACTGCACGTGTGTGTAAAAACCTACAGGTGAGCAGGGAAAATATCAAATATGTTCGATCATTTCTCCATGTCAGCATGGCTTCATTAAGCGTCGCTTCACCACCACTAATTTTCTGGAGTTGACATCCTTTGTCATAGATGGCTTTTGAATAGGCATTTCAAACTGACGTTATTGACACAGACTTTAGTTAAGTATTTGATTCAGTTAATCAGCTACTCCTATTGCGCAGACACAGACAGACAACTGCGCAGCCGCTCTTTTATCTGGCTACCTCATAGGCTGGATCTGAGAATAATTCGCCGCCTTATAAATGAGCAATGGACTGATTTCCTACCAATTGAATGAAACCCCCGTAAGAGTTAACAAATAGGGTAAATCACCGGACCTCCTCTACTGACTGATGTGGCAGTTTTCATACCTGCGAAACCAAAACCATCGAAACATATGTTTGTTTCTCAACTTGTCCTTAATACGGAGATTGATATCTCGGCTTGAACATCAAATACAAAACAAAAGCCAATATGAAGGTGGATGAAATAAGTAAATATAAATACAAAAATGTGAGACGCATGTCTTCTTTAAAGATTCGTGTTCCCGCGCTGATGTTTAAGACGATTTGTTCACCCAGTTTTTGTCCAAAAAAATCAGACTAGTACTGTAAAATACAAAATTTAGTAATAGTGAACAATCTCTTCTTTCTCAATTTAAAAAAAACTACATACATTTGTAGAGCGATTGAGCTACAGAAAGTTAAGCTAAGAAAATACCTGCAAGTTTATAAATAATTAAATAAGGAAGTAAGAAAGACTATACTTGGATGCCAAAATTTTACTATGTCCGTATTTTGCTCATAAATAATAATGATAAAAATTATGATTCATAATAAAAACTTGTACACAATAAATGTACACAATACACTTGTACACAAATAAATAAAGTTAAATGTATTGCTTTCTGTTAAAAAGGAAAAAGGATTAAAAAAGGACTTTTTTAGTCTCCTAGAACTATATGTTTAAATCCGAAATCTATAGAAAAATCAGAATGTTTATGCCTCTTTTACAATCTTTTATAACTCTTTGAATCGAATCGAAAATCGAATATGGCAGAATTTTGTTTTTGCGATATATAAAACATTTCCGCGAAAGTTCCGTTTGTCGCTTTTTATCGAAAGAGATATTTTCATGGCAAATTATTACAAAATATCTGTGCCATAAATCAGCCAAAAAAAATACCCTATAGCTTTACAGTTTTGGTAAAATTAAATATTCAATTCTATTTTTACCATCACCTTTACCTTTACAACAGTGGGGGCAAAACTAACACATTTTTAAAATTTAAGTGTGTGCGTAGGCAGCAAAAAACAAAGAGAGCGAGGTGTTCTCAGAGAACTCTCTGAGAGCACTGAGAGAAAAAACTTTTTTGGTTTATTTTGTTTATCAAATATTTTGTAAATATAGGACAATATAGGTCACTTTTTTCTATTCAGACTTATAAAAGGGTATAACAAATTAATATAAAAAAAGAATAAAAAAATAAAATAAAAAAAAAAAAACAAAATTATACAAAAAAAAAGAAAGGAAAGCTAACTTTCGGCCGAATCCAGCCGTTCTGACTTATATATATACTACGTGAAAAGGAAAGAAGTCATTAGTTTTAAAACTGAGATACAAGTTTGCGAAGAAACAGACGGACAAATAAAATCTTAGACATGCTCATATATTACATATAATGTCATATGAGCATGTCATATATGTCATATAATGTCATATCTCATATATATTACATTAAAATCGTTGCGCATTTTATTCAACTCTGCTTGAAAAGGAATTTTGAATTGATCTATATTGCATGTAAATGGGTTGTCGTGTAACTCAATACAACTTTGGTATAATTTTAAATCATTAAATCTCTTCAAAAAACTGCTATGAATTCCTTAAACTATTTCTGTATACTTAGGAGATTTTAATTTAGGTTCTATTTGTAAATTTCAAAATGTTTCTGATGTTTTTTTAAGACTAAAAAAACTACCTGATTCCAGTTCACTAATAAATATTACAAACTTCCTACTAAAATTTTGGATGATATAAGCTAAAAAACAAGAAAGGAAAGCTAACTTCGGGCGGAGCCGAAGTTGATATACCCTTGCAGGTAAAACCGGATATATATCGCAAACATCGGATATAGTTGGCCGATCCTTATGAGAATATAATAATATAACCTAATTTATTATAATATAAAGTATAAAAAAAAGTCCCAAACTTCTATCTTCAAAAATACCAAAGTTGGTATTTCTAAAAAACATTTCCGATCGTTCAGTTACTTGGCAGCTGTAAGATATAGTCGGCCGATCGTGAAATTTGGTAGGTCGGATTAACTGACCAAAAATATAATCTGTACCAAGTTCCAGCTTTCTATCTTCAAAAACACGAAAGTTGGGTCATTTCCGATCGTTCAGTTATATGGCAGCTATAGGATATAGTCAGCCGATGAAATTTGGCATGTCATAATGTTTTGCCAAAGATAGCTCTCATGTCAAATTGGAACTCTCTAACTCTAAAAACACCAAAGTTATACCAATTCCGATCAATCAGTTATATGGCAGCTACAGGATATAGTCGGCCGATCCCGGTCGTTCCGACTTATATACTGCGTGCAAAGGAAAGAAGGGTGTGTGCAAAGTTTCAAGTCGATAGCTTTAAAACTGAGAAACTAGTTCGCGTAGAAACAGACAGACAGACAGACGGACAGACGGACATGCTCATATCAACTCAGGAGGTGATCCTGATCAAGAATATATATACTTTATAGGGTCGGAGATGTCTCCTTCACTGCGTTGCAAACTTTTGGAAAAAATTATAATACCCTTTCAAATTTGACATGAGAGCTATTTTTGGCAAAACATTACGATATGCCAAATTTCATAAGGATCGGCTGACTATATCTTATAGCTGCCATATAACTGAACGATCGGAAATGATTTTTGGTAGAAATACCAACTTTGGTACTTTTGAAGATAGAAGTTTGGGACTTTTTTAAGATTTTTATATTATAACAAAATGGGGTAATATTATCATATTCTCATAAGGATCAGCCAACTATATCCGATGTTTGCGATATATATCCGGTTTTTACTGCAAGGGTATATAAACTTCGGCCCCGCCCGAAGTTAGCTTTCCTTTCTTGTTTGGATTTTTTTTGTAATTAATTGGTTTTATTATGATGTAATCATAAGGATCGGCCAACTATATCCGATGTTTGCGATATATATCCGGTTTTAACTGCAAGGGTATATCAACCTCGGCTCCGCCCGAAGTTAGCTTTCCTTTCTTGTTTTATTAATAATTTTAATTGAAATGTCCATAACATTTACCAAATTTAAGTGTTTTAGTCTATTCTTTGCCTCAGAATGAATAATTTGGCTTATATGCTCAGTCCTGCGTGTTATTGTACGCCGGGACGAGGGTTTATTGAAAAATTGCTCCTCCCAAATTTCTGAAAAATTTTTTTTTAGTTATGATTTCCCAATAATGAACAAAATAATCTTGGTTCAGTGAGGTTTGAACGTCAACTAAATTAATTTTCATTTCTCAACGGTAAAAATTTTGTCTCTCAAATAAGAGAAAGTTACAAGCACCTGTCATCTCACGAGAGTAAATGAGAGCAAATGAGAGAGCTTCTAAATAATGTGAGCATGCTCACACTATACGTGTGTCGGCAGCGCTGCGGCAGAATTTCCTACCCTGTACACGCGTGCTATGTAAAATGAGAGTTTTCCCACCAGTGCTTTACAACAATCTGCTGCTAAGTTGCTTTTACTGTAAAGTTAGACTTTTCGACATATGATACTTTTCAGGCATAGTAATAATTATAAGAAAAACTTTATATATTTTTATATATTTAGTATAAGACTTATAGTTTTAATTACCATAGCCTTTAAATATTTGTATAATTATTTCCTGAACTGTCCCTACAGAAATATGCCAGGGGGATTGGGGTGGTTGGAGCTTTGGCAAATGGCTTTATCGACACGGCTGTTGATGGTGATCAAGAATAAATAATAATTACTTTATGGGGTCTGAGATGATACCTTCTTCCAATTACATAAATTTACATGAAAAACATTCCATCAAAATAATAATTAAATGTGTTAAAAAATTAAATAAAATTTTCCTTCTTCAGAACATACATTTACAACATACTCATCTAGCACGATAGCTGCTTCAAGCATAGCTACTTCAATGCATGGCCTAAAATGGCATGTACGCTCCGGACATAATTTAAATGTTCTAATAAGCCACTTGACAGACGTAACCAAAGTGCCGGAAGTAGGTACGTGCAAAACACATTTTAATTTAAAATTCATTTTATATTTTAACATACAGGCGCAGCTGAAAGAATGCATGTTACATATGGAAGATTTTTTCAACAAGCATAGTCGAAACATGCAACACTTTTGTATGGATATTCAGCAGTCGCAAACCTCAGCAATATATCTACAAGGTCGATTCCATGTGCAACATCCGGAACACATTGAAAAACATAAACATCCGTCGTTTTCTCAAATGTCAGACTCTCTCAACCAACAAAAGCATTCGTTTAAAAGTGTTTTACCATACAGAATAAAGTCGTGCAGCAATTACACACACTCTTCGAAGGATATTGACAAACATATCATATAATTTATACGGAATCATTAAATCAATTTTCTTAAATTTATTTATACATGAAGATTATTTTTTTAATTAGGAATAAGTAAATGTTTTTGATGCATTTTGAAACAATTAATAAGGGAATAGTGTTCAATTTGGGTTCTGACCTTCGCATTAATTTTGAATGAGATACATCATTTCGTATGAGATACATCTGTTGATGACTACCATAACAGTAGTCATCAACAGATATATCTCATACGAAAAATAACTTGAAACTATTGAAACGAGACTGAGAAAATACAGACAATAATAAACTACAAAGTTTGTCTCTTTCTTAACAACTATTGTCATAAAAAAAGTTAATAAAATAAATAATAATTTGGATTTGCTTGGATTTTTGTTTTGCTCATCTGTTTCGTTAATATCAAGTTGAAAAATAAATTTTAATGTTATAAATTTGAATCATTTGCCCATTAGGTTTGCATAAATATTCAAAGCATTGAATATTTTCTTCAATGTTCATCTGATCTTTGAAGATTAAGGTATGTATTAGTCCTCATTCGGTTTGACGATTTATTAGAGACTAAAAAATGCTGCACGCAGACAGAACCAGAACTTAAAGAAGAATGATAATTCGTTACTTGTTACTTTAGTATATAACATAAGAGGAATAAGATATACAGTGGTGCATATAAAAATATTTTCAACACTCCTTCTCACCGCGGTATATCTAATTCAAAAGATTCCTTTTTAGTTTAACCCTAGTGAAGTAATACAATTGGTGTGTTTAACTTTACATAGAGATTTAGTTAGAACATCTGAAATCATATTTTCGGTTGGAACATATTCAATATCAATAACTTTCTTATATAAATCTCTTATGAAATGATACTTGATATCTCTATGTTTACTCCTAGCATGAAAACTCGCATTCTTCGCTAAACATTGGGCGTTTTGGTTGTCACTGTAGATCATCAATGTTGGCGCCGTCTCGAAACCCATCTCAGATATCAGCTTCAGCACGTAAGCTGCCTCCTTAGCTGCTGTTGAAAGCGCCACATACTCAGCCTCCGTGCTACTGAGTGCTATGATGCTCTGCTTCTTCGACTCCCACGAAAACGCTGCTCCAGCCAAAAAAAACGCCCAACCACTGAACGATTTGCGGTCAGAACAGTCACCTGCCCAGTCTGCATCCACAAAGCAGTGAACAGGCACACTAGTTCGATCAAAGTGCAGCTTCAAGCTCGAAGTTCCTCTTAGGTAACGAAGGACGCGTTTAGCGGCCACCTCATGTTCCTTATGGGGGTCACTGCACTTCTGAGCCAACTTTGCCACACAATGAACAATGTCCGGCCTCGTAGTCATTGCTAAGTACAGCAGTGATCCAATAAGCGATTGATACTGCTTCTGGTTGGCTCGTGGACAGTCTTCCAAAACACATAGGTTCTGATAACCAACCTCCAAAGGCGTTGCATTCGGCTTACAGTCTTCCATGCCATAATCTCGTAACAGCCCGTCGATATACTGCTTGTGGCCAATTGCCACACTGCCCGTCTCTCCATCCCGCTCGATCTCCATGCCTAAAAAATGTTTCAGCTCTCCGCCATCTACTACTTCGAATTCCCGTGCGATTTAAAGTTTTATGTCGACAAGGTCTTCTTTTATGGAACAGGCAATAATTATTCGACATCGACAACAATTATGTTAAATTTTTCGCCGCTGTTCTTGGTGCAAATGCATGGCTCACTGGGACATTGTACAAAACCAATACGCTGAAGAGTACTGTCCAATTTCTGGTTCCATTCACGCCCACTCTGCTTCAGACCGTATAAAGACTTGTGTAACTTCAACACCCTTTTTGGATACGCTGTGTCCACGAACCCTTCCGGTTGCCGCATGTAGACTACATCTTGTAGGTCGCTATTTAGATACGCAGCTGAGACGTCCATTTGATGCATAAACATTTTGTTCTCGACAGCCAGTGCGATCACCAATCGAATAGAAGAATACCGAGCCACTGGGGAAAATGTTTCTTTGTAGTTTATGCCGTACTCCTGTCCACAACCTTTTGCAACTAAGCGAGCCTTGAACCGTTCCACGTTGCCGTACTGGTCTCCTTTAGCCGCAAACACCCATTTGCATCCAATAGTTCTCTCGCCAGGAGGAAGATTTACAAGACTCCATGTATTGGTGGACTGTAGTTGAGAATACTCCTTCTGCATCGCAACCTTCCATTCTTCAGCCTGTATCGAGCTCAAAGCCTCCTTGACTCCACTCGGTACTTGGACGTCGGCAACTCCAATAGCGTTAAGCATATTGTACTCCTTACGTGGTCGTCCTGGCTTTCCAGTACGAATTATCTTAGGCCTACCTGGGCCTCGCTGAACTCGTTCGATGCTATCAACCAACTCGTCTTCACCATCTTCGGCTCCCGACTGTCCGTCCCTTGCATGATCTGTCATTTTCATCGTGACCCCCATTTATCTCCTCACCAAAAACGCTTCCGTTTTCTGCCAATTCTACTGTCGATATATCCTCGGTTTTTGTTATATCGTGCTCAAGGAACACCACATCTCTGGCTTCCTTGATAGTTTGCGTATCAGGATTGAAGAGTCTATACGCTTTGGCAGTTTCTGAATACCCAACCAGGATATGCTCTATTCCTTTCTGAGAAAATTTTCTTTTCATTGTCTTGTCTAGCACAATTGCCTTTGTACCAAACACCTTAAGATGGGATACGCTGGGCTTTTTCCCAAACCATGCTTCGTATGGAGTCATGTCTGGCAATGTAGACGTTTCTGATCGGTTCCTCAAATACATCGCAGTCATTATCGCTTCCCCCCACAGGTGCTCGTTCGCATTAGCGTGAACCATCATGCTCCTTGCCATTTCCACTAGCGTCCGATTGGCACGCTCAGCCACGCCGTTTTGCTGTGGAGTATGGGGAACGGTGAGCTGCCTCTTAATCCCATTGCTTACCAGGAAGTTTTCGAATTTCCGCCACTTTTGGAAATTGTTTCACGCATATCTTGCTTTTCGCACAAGTCTCGCAAACAAAGTCATTCGTGCTACCGGTTACTCCGCGTAGATCATACACTAGTTCTTTTCAAATCATGGATTTTAAACTTTCGAAATTTAAATGTCCGAATCTATTGTGCCACGTTATTTCTTGATTTGTTTTTTCTTTTGCAGCAAAAGCCGATTTGTTTTTATTTTGGAAAATAAACAAGTCATTCTGTTTGTTTGCTTTTAATACCGTTTCGCCGTTCTTATTATTGACACTAGCACTATTTTTCGAAAAACTTATTTCGAACCCGTTATTAGTTGCTCTCGACACTGAAATAAAATTACACTGAAGGTTGTGTACGAACAATACATCAACCAATTCAATAATGTTTTCTTGCCAAAACAGTTTTACTGTTCCAATGCCTTCAGCCTCAATGTAATTTTCTCCAACCAGCATTATTTTTTCCTTATGCTCACGAATTGAAACAAATAACGATTTGTTTGCACATAAATGGGCTGTTGCCCCACTGTCAATGCACCAAATATTACTCGTTAGTCCACTTTGGCTCGCTGCGGCAGCGAAAACCGAGAACGACTTTTTGTTCTCCTCGCGTTTGCTCACACTATTTTTATCCTTTTCTGATCTTGCGTTTTTCTGTTTTGAGTAGCACTTTGCCGAAACATGTCCGTAACGACCGCAGTTCCAACATTCCACATGTTTCATGTCTTTCTTATGCTTGGGCTTTTCCTTTTCGGCACGCGACGAGTAGATTTTCTGTTCCGCTTTATTGTCCATTTTGTCTCCCACTTTTCATCGTTCTCCCTCTTCCAGCAACTTAATTTTTAGAGAAATTAAGGAAGGCAAAGAATCACGCGTCTCCATAGCAATTACGAAATTTTCGTACGAATCCGATAGGCTGGACAACAAAATTATTACAAGCATTTCTTCTGGGACTGGTTGATCGATCTCTTGTAATTTCTCGATGACGTCATTGAAATTACTCAAATGCACTGTGACACTGTCTGACTCTGACATCTTCATATACAGCAACTGTTTAAACAACTGTATTTTACGCGCTGGTCCACTAGGCATGTGAACACTAGCCAGCTTTTTCCAAGCTTCCATCGATGATTTGCAGTGTTTAACATAGTTAATCTGGGACGGCTTTATACACAACAAAATACTCACAAGGGCTTTTTCATCCTTGTTATCAAAATTTGCCTGCTCTGCAACCGTTCCACTTTCGTTTTTAATTTCACGACCACACACAATTGACCATAGTTCTGAGTGTACCAGCAGACTTTTCATTTGCACTGCCCACTAACTATAATTGTCACTATCAAGTTTTTCTATTGAGTATTGCGAACTCATCTTGTTTATCTTGTTCATTAAACACCACCGAATCTCTAATTATTTTATAATCTTTTCGACTATTACGCAGTAGTTTTCTTGCTGGCCTGGGCCCATAACCTATTCGGTTTGACGATTTATTAGAGACTAAAAAATTCTGCACGCAGACAGAACCAGAACTTAAAGTGTATTACTTTATGTGTATTTACTTTAGTGTATAACATAAGAGGAACAAGATATACTGTGGTGCATATACAAATATTTTCAACAGTAAAGTCTTAATCTTCGAGTTGTATCAAACATCCAATTTATACATATATATTAGTTTATTAGATTAACATTTGTCAGCGGCGTTTCTCATAGGACTAACGACGTTTAAAAAGTAAAAAAAATACATTTCATGTACCTGTCTTGAAGCTGTCTATAATTCAGGCAAATTAGACCAAGCTTGGCAAACTTAACAGAAGTACCATTGACGACGTCACATTCCATTGCTGCACTTTCGACCGGCGCCTTCATTTCTTCCAATCGATCTTTCACCTGCACTTGCCATCTTTTTCGGGTCCGTCTCTATCGTTTGCGTTCTCTCGCTGCGTTCTCGGTCCCTCTGCTTACAAAGTGCGACAGTGACTTGGAACTTTTGAAGAGACCTTGTAGGAATTGTTTATTAGGTCCAATATAGTACAAAAACGTGTTTAAAATATTTCTAACATCTCAAAATCTTGATTTATTTAGAAAAAACGGTTTTTCGGGAAATTTTTTCTCTTAAATATTCCTAAACACATAATTTTACGCCGATTTTGAAATTTCCGACGTTTTCCAATAGTTAAATTTTGTAGCTTTTGAAAAAAATGGATCTTCAATTAATTTAAGGGGTTATATACAGTTGTGATATATGAAAAAAATCGGAGCACTAGAACCGAAGCTGTAGCTATTTATAGCGCACTATCTGCATATAAAACTTGAACAAACTTGAAACTTTAAACGCGATTATCTCAGAATCTTGATTTTTCGAAATTACCTTTGCGGTGGACACGATTACTAAAAAACTACTAATCCGATCAACACCAAATTTTAACCACTTATTTATTATGATAATAGCCGTGAACGAAGGATTTTTAATTTTTTTAAAAACTTTTTTTAGAGCATTAAAATCGAAAATCTTATACCTTGAAGAAGTACATTTGCTATGACCGTCGCCATTTTTTTTAATCAAAATTTTTAAAAATCCATCGTTCACGGACTAGGCAATATAATATACTAACTAAATTTTTTTTGAATTTTGGATTTCAGATGAACCGTTCTCGGGATATGATGTCCACCGCAAGCCACATTGTTAGATATATGCACAATACAGATCCGATTTTACGCAATGAATTTGTAATAACAGTAATAAACAGAGCTTGCAAAAACAGTTTGATTGTTTTAAAGTTATTAAACAAAAAAAATCATTCCGAAACACAGCATATAACTTTTATGTGTTTTCGCTCTCAAAGAGCTCTGCTTAGAGCCAAATACTTTAATTTCTATTCGATTCGATCTTTCAAAGACAATTTGATTCGTTCGTTATTAGTGTCTTTTATAACAGAGGCGGTATGCACAAACTTATGGCATTTTATAGGTACCAAATAAACATTTTCCGTTAAATCACAATGTTCTGAATTTTTAATTAACTCGTCCTACGCCTCATTTAAGGTTAGAAGTGCAAAATATAATTATTATATCCGGTAATCGTAGAGTACAAGGGTATATTGGGTGGTATATTGGTATATATTGGTATATTGGGGGTAATTATGGGTGTATGTGGGTGTATGGGGTGACAGAGGATCCCAGAAAAAATTTTGCCCACTGGGCCTTTTTCCTTAAATCCGCCACTGGTTAAATATATTTAATTTAGTCCGCTTTACATACATATGCATTCATTTTGTTAGCAAAATAAAAAAATAGTGTTATTAATTATAAAAAACACATGCTTTTGCATGTTGGTGGACAAATTATTATATTTTTTAACTATTAAAAGAATATATGTACTCCCAAAAACGATGTTCCTCACTCAGCGATCGATAATGAAAATTCTATCGATCTAAGGTCTCAGCAAACTTTAGATGAAAATGAAAATCATATTCCTCAATCTGTGATCGATTCAAATGGCAATTCCATCGATCTAAGGAATGATCAGGGTAAGTAAATAAAAATCCAATATATTAAGTAACAGACCAAC